CTGGCCCCAGTACGGGCTCCGAGGGAGGAGAGTGGGTGACGCCGGACGGGAGCACTTGGCGAGATGTGGTGGATGGCATGGCCCTGGAACAACGGGTACCAAGGGGTAGGAAGTAACCCAGGACGGGTGGGCACGGACGTCGGAGCCCGCGGGTTGGTGCGTTGCAGGACGAGTCTCCACCAACCATCCCTGCTCTTAGGGTCCTGGGCTGGGGACTGGAGGGGGGTGGAACCAGCCCCCCTACCCTCCACGAGTGTGCCAGGCTGACACCTAAGCCAGCTGAACTGAGCCAAGAGACTGGAGAGTGACTTGCACGGGTACGGGACTTGTGGGGAGCACGGAGGGATATTGGTGACGGGAAAAGAATCACAACGATGAAGCCAATATAGCCTGAGTGAGTGTGGACTGGGGGGGGGACCCCAACCCCCAGCACGAGGACAGGGCCCAATTTCAATGCACCTGCTTCCCAGACCCCTCGCCTGCTGCCGGGAGCCAGGGCTGCCTAGCTACCTCTGCTCCCACCACCCTCCACGCCCCGCCCTCCCACACAGTGCACACCACCTCTTGCCACCAGGGGTCGCTCTTCCACAGACGTGGTCCATCTCGGCATTAATAAGGCTTTTGCTACCGTCTGGCATGGACGTCTCATTAATAAACCAGGGAAATACGACCTAGGTGGGGCTACTATAAGGTGGGCGCAAAAATCCTAGACTCATAGACTTTAAGGTCAGAAGGGACCATTATGATCATCTGGTCTGACCCCCTGCACAGTGCAGGCCACAGAATCTCACCCACCCCTCTTAGAATAATCCTCTCCCCTATATCTCGGATATTGAAGCCTTCAAATACTTTGAAGACCCCAAGATGCAGAGAATCCTCCAGCTGTGATCTGTGCCCCATGCTACAGAGGAAGGCGAAAAACTGGTTGGAAAATCATTCTCCGAGAGTAATCCTCAATGGATCCCAGTCATGCTGGAAGGGCACAGCGAGCTGGGTCCGGCAGGGATCAGTTCTGGGGGCGGTTCTGTTCAATATCTTCGCCGATGATTTCAATAACGGCATTTATAAGCAGGCTCATGAAGTCTGCAGATGATCCCAAGCTGGGAGGGGTGGCAAGTGCTTTGGAGGGGAGGATTAGAAATCAAACTGATCTGGACAAACTGGAGAAAGGGTCTGAGGTCAATAGGATGAAGTTTAACAAGGACAAATGCAAAGTGCTCGACTTAGGATGGAACAGTCACACGCAGAAAGGGAAGTGACTGTCTAGGGAGGAGTCCTGCAGAAAGGGATCTAGGAGTCACAGAGGATCACAAGCTAAATATGAGTCAACGGTGTGACGCTGTTGCAAAAAAGGAAACAGGATTCTGGGCGGCATGAACAGGAGTGTTGTGAGCAAGACACGAGGAGTCATTCTTCCGCTCTACTCTGTGCTGGTTAGGCCTCGGCTGGAGGATTGTGTCCAGTTCTGGGCACCACATTTCAAGAAAGATGAGGAGAAATTGAAAAAGGTCCAGAGAAGAGCAACAAGAATGATGAAAGGTCTAGAGAACGTGAGCTAGGAGGGAAGGCGGAAGGAATTGGGCTTGTGGGGTTTAGACAAGAGCAGACTGAGAGGGGACATGAGAGCAGCTTTCAAGTACCCAAAAGGGTGTTACAAGGAGGAGGGAGAAAAAATATTCTCCTTGGCCTCTGAGGACAGGACAAGCAGCAATGGGCTTAAATTGCAGCGAGGGAGGTTGAGGTTGGACATTAGGAAAAACTTCCTGCCTGTCAGGGTGGCTAAACACTGGAATAAGTTACCCAGGGAGGCTGTTGAATCTCCGTCCCTGGGGATATTGACGAGCAGGTTGGACAGACATTGAGTGCCATGACCTCGAGGTTCCTTCCAGTCCCGTGATTCCATGATCCATGGGGGGCCCCTTCCCCCACCTCATTCCATGCCCCTGCACCCCACGTCCTGCCACCAGGGGGCCCCTCCCCCACCTCATTCCGTGCCCCTGCACCCCACGTCCTGCCACCAGGGGGCCCCTCCCCCACCTCATTCCGTGCCCCTGCACCCCACGTCCTGCCACCAGGGGGCCCCTCCCCCACCTCATTCCGTGCCCCTGCACCCCACGTCCTGCCACCAGGGGGCCCCTCCCCCACCTCATTCCGTGCCCCTGCACCCCACGTCCTGCCACCAGGGGGCCCCTCCCCCACCTCATTCCGTGCCCCTGCACCCCACGTCCTGCCACCAGGGGGCCCCTCCCCCACCTCATTCCGTGCCCCTGCACCCCACGTCCTGCCACCAGGGGGCCCCTCCCCCACCTCATTCCGTGCCCCTGCACCCCACGTCCTGCCACCAGGGGGCCCCTCCCCCACCTCATTCCGTGCCCCTGCACCCCACGTCCTGCCACCAGGGGGCCCCTCCCCCACCTCATTCCGTGCCCCTGCACCCCACGTCCTGCCACCAGGGGGCCCCTCCCCCACCTCATTCCGTGCCCCTGCACCCCACGTCCTGCCACCAGGGGGCCCCTCCCCCACCTCATTCCGTGCCCCTGCACCCCACGTCCTGCCACCAGGGGGCCCCTCCCCCACCTCATTCCGTGCCCCTGCACCCCACGTCCTGCCACCAGGGGGCCCCTCCCCCACCTCATTCCGTGCCCCTGCACCCCACGTCCTGCCACCAGGGGGCCCCTCCCCCACCTCATTCCGTGCCCCTGCACCCCACGTCCTGCCACCAGGGGGCCCCTCCCCCACCTCATTCCGTGCCCCTGCACCCCACGTCCTGCCACCAGGGGGCCTGGCATGTCTGAGCCCACACTACCCCAATCCCCCCCTTTCTCTCCATCAGGGAAGGCCGGGGGGGCCGGGCCAGCGCTCACAGCTCGCGGGACTGACCTCTTCTGCGACGGCTGCCCGACCGGCGTCACCTTGTCCTCGTAGAACCTCTTCATGGCAAACCTGTCGAGGGCTTGGTCCGCACTGGGGGG